CAGTGGTAGAGGCTTGCCTTGCATGCATGAGGCCCTGGGTTCAATTCCTCAGCACCACATAAGCAAAAAGAAAAAAGCCGGAAGTGGCATTGTGGCTCAAGTGGCACCCAGGCCCAGAGTTCAGGCCCCACGACCGGACCAAAAAAAAAAAAACTTCTCTCAAACATCAACCAAAAACTAAGAAAATCTTGGAGGAAAGCCCCACAAAACAAGAAAATCCAAATCCAAATAGGAAGGAAGCCAACTTGTGAAATGATGACATGTAAGAAAAGTGACTCTGATCTTGTCAAGTGACATAGAAACTTACTAAACAAAAAAGAAAGAAAAAACATAATACTCAATACACATATGAACAATATTTACATCATTAAACTGTATATATGCTCTTTATTAGTTTCCACAATAAACTTAAGAAACAAAAAAATAGAATTATTGTTATAGACCAGAATATACATTTTATCACTTAATAATATAAAAATAAAGGCATAGCTGATCCAAACTGGAGTGTGGAAGGAAGGTCTTAATATCTACATCCATTGAAAATAGGAATTGAAAGATAATTGGCTAAAATTCAACAAAAACATGTAAGGTTGAACAGTTAACCTCTGAAGAGCAGATATAAGTTTAGGGAGTGAGGAAAAAGCATTTATTAATTATAAGCTCTTTAGGGTACAATGTTTATTTTGTTTTTAAACAAACACATATAAAATCAAAAGTAATATATGTGTTTGTGTACATATATCAGAGTAGTATGTATAGATATGTGTGTGTGTCTGTGTGTGCGTGTACATTACATTGACTGGAAAAATAGTACCTGTACAAGTTCTTTCACTTGATGCCCAGGATAAGTGTGCCACACTCTGGTGGAGCCACTTATGCACATCAGCCTTTTTGCTATGTGTGTATGCCAGTAACCAGGGCTAGAACACAGGGTCTGGGCACTGTCCCTGAGCTTTTTTGATTAAAGCCAGCAGTCTACCACTTGACCCACAGCTCCACTTCCAGTATTTTAAATAATTTATTGGTGATAACAGTCTCACAGACTTTCCTGTCCGTACTGGCTTTGAACTACAATCCGCAAATCTTCCTGAGTAGATAGGATTATAGGCATGAGCCACTGGCATCAGGCCACCAGCCCTTCTTGGTGTCTACCTGGGCAGGACTGCTGACATGAGAGTTACATGTGAGGCAGCACAGTGCCCCATCCATGCTCTATCAGAACAGTCCTACATATTCCATATTTTTCCTTGACCCCTTAACATTTAGATATAAACAAGGATTAAGTTCAGTAAACACTTTTTTGTTTTGCACAAAGAAGAACGTTCATATTTTATTTTCTAAACAATATTGATTTAAATATAGAATATGGGCTGTGATTACTGCTGTGTTTTTAGTTAGCAGTTTGAATTTGAGATACTGAGGCAGAGACACCCTGTTGGATCTGAAGGAGACTAAGGCTTAGTGGTTGAGGAAGGCTGGCTTCAGGCCTGGATGAAAGGCACTAGGATGCTTATGTTCAGTTACCTGCTTCTTTTCTCATGAATGGCTGTGTATAACACACTAGTGACAAACAGAACCACAGGATCTCCTGCTATAATACTCATCCTGATTGCTGTTTTTCAGAGAGCTATTTTGAGAGAGTCACATCACACACAGAGACCTCAGGAGGTAAAATTTGTTTTAGCATTATTTTAGCCAGTGCTTTCTTTCCTCAACGATTTATTTCCTGCATGATCATCAATGTTTTCATTTCAACAAGCTGACAAAATCCATTACCTCTGATTTTATACAGACTCTAAAGTTAGGCTACAAAAAGCAAGTAAACAACTACAAGTACCAAAAGATTTACGACCTTACAATTTCATGGGCAGGAAGTGGGACATAGAAAAGGATTACAAATAAATTATAATCTTCAGACTTACAAACAAAACCTCCTTTGGTTATTTATTAAAATCTGTCAGAAGTTAAAGGAATGCAATTAAGCCTTTATAAATAACTGGGACATGATCTGCTCACAACTGTGTTTTCTCCAATATCCTGGTCACATCCTCAGTTTAAGAGGCAGTGGAGACAGCCAGCTTCTTCAAATGATCCATGAACACCTGCAGGCTGACGTCATCAGTTAGGATAGGTGCTCCAGTTTCCTGAAATTTTCAACAATAAAGTCTTACTGGCAGAGACTTTATGTTTGAGTTTTTGTTGAAAGGAGTAACACTGATCAAAATATATTGTATTCATAAAACATAAAAATAAAAAATTCATGTGCTTTTGAGTACCTTTCTGCCTCAGAACATTCTTGTCACCTGTGCTCCCCACCACCTCAACCTCTGCCAAGCAAACTACTATCAACTTTCCTCAGCAAACCCTTTCCTGATCCACATAAACAAGGCCATCCCTGCCCACTGAAAACATGGTTTTGAGAATATGCCTTTCTATTTTAACCCTTCCATGGTGCTGAGGACTCCCTTGGAGGCGAGCTCCACATCAGCAGGGAGTTGAAGCAGTGCTAGTCCCTGATCTGACCCTGGCAGGTTATGCTGTATGCTATAAAAGGGAATCTACACAGGCAGCACCCCAACTCTCACTGTGACTATGCCATTCAAAGTTTTCCCATCCTAGTGGAATATTCAAATCTAAGTTAACCTGTCTTTAGCCCAAAGAGTCCCATTTTATAGGAATTTAAAACAAGTTTTTAAAATAAATAGCCTAGTACCTTCACCAAATATCTATCAATTTCTTACCTGTCCCCAAGCATACAGATTATTGTGTGTCTGAGATGGGTTCACTTTGGACAAAAGGAATCGAGCCTTTAAAAAAACAAAAGTTAGAGATTAAAAGTGCCATTGCTATAATAGAAAAAAGAAAGACAAACTTTCATACCATTTCTTTATGAGAAATCTCATTTCTAAATGAGAAATCATTATTATATAGGAACCTATTTCTTTAGCTTAAACCCACGGGCTGAAACACTGTTAATCCTAGACCTTGATGTCAGCATCTTCATGTACAAAGAAGTCAGCTGGCAATGTAACTCAGTGGTAGAGAGCTTGCCTAGCAAATCCCATGTTCAGTTCCCAGAATGGCAAGACAAAGAAGTCATACTTGGAAGATCACCTATATGTCAATTTCTGCCACCACATAAAAAGAATGGTTTGGGGGCTGGGAAGGTGGCTCAGTGGTAGAGCGCTTGCCTTGCATGCAAGAGGCCCTGGGTTCGATTCCCCAGCACCACATAAACAAAAACAAAAAAGCCGGAAGTGGTGCTGTGGCTCAAGTGGTAGAGCGCTAGCCTTGAGCTGAAGAGTGAGGGACAGCACCCAGACCCACACAGTTCAGGCCCCACAACTGGACCCCCCCGCCAAAAAAAAGAATAGTTTGGATTTATAGCCATAAAAATAGATCTTGAAATATTTGGCTGAAACTCAGCTCACCCACCTGACTGCCACCATGCTCTGTGTTGATGTAACGCGGCATGGGGAAGCGTGCCTGTAGAATTTCTTGAGCATCATCTAGTGGTGCCTGCAGTAGGTGCTTGAAGTTTTCATACTCAGGCATGTCCTGATATCCAGCTTTCTGCCACTGAGCTATAGTCTACACCAAAACAAACACAACTGCTGTTGAAAGACTAAAGGCCCCTTCATCAATGCTTCTGACATTCTTCTACCATCACCACACCACCATCTAGAACTGGTTTCCAATGAGAAACTTTTATGTCACAAAAGAGAAATTTCAGTCAGATACTAGCAGCTCCCACCCATAATCCTAACTACTTAGAAGGCTCAGAACTGAGGATCACAGTTCAAAGCTGTCCCAGGCAGGAAAATCCATGAAACTTCATCTCCATTTAATCACCAAAAGCTAGAAATGGAATTGTGGCTCAAGTGGTAGAACACCAGCCTTGAGCAAAGAAGCTCAGGGACAGCGCCTAGGGCCTGAGTTCAAGCTCCACACTCACAACCCCACACCCACACCCACCCACCCACACACACACATGAAAGAGGAGTTGGGGATTTTCAAGAGAAGTAAAGCAGGACTGCCCAGTAGTAGGCAAAAAGAATACATCCAAGGGGGACAGTTACACAATTCTCCCAGAGCTTCAGTCATGACTGAATAACTACACAAAACAACTAGCTAGCAAAGCCTGTGAGCTGGGTAAACCAAGCCATCCTTCAATTTTTTTTTTTTTTTTGTCAGCCGTGGGGCTTGAACTCTGGGCCTGAGCACTGTCCCTCAGCTCATCAGCTCAAGGCTAGCACTCTACCACTTGAGCCACAGGGCCACTCACTCTCATGGAGATTACTGCCCATGCTGGCTTTGATCTGTCATCCTCAGATCTCAGCCTCCTGAGTAGCTAGGATTACAGGTGTGAGCCACCATCGCCCAGCCTTCAATTTCCTTTCTACTGTTATGGCTCAGACTAGTGTCTTATTTCACACCTAGAAGGAAAACCATCTGCAGGCTGTCCATTCTCTTTTCACATCCCCTCCTCCAATCATGCCCTGAGTTGGGACACTCTTGGCAGTGAAGGTAATGCTATAATAAAATCTGTCAAGGAGCTGGGAATGAGGCTTAGTGGTAGAATGCTTGCCTAGCAAGCATGAAGCCCTGGGTTTGATTCCTCAGTACAACATAAAGAGAAAAAGCTGGGAGTGGTGCTATAGCTCAAGTGGTAGAGTGCTAGCCTTGAGCAAAAGAAGCTCAGGGACACACTCCCTGAGTTCAAGCCCCAGAAATGACAAAAAAGAAAATAAAAGAAAGAAAGAAAGAAAGAAAAGAAAACAGAAAAAGTGTCAACTAGGCAATGAGAATACAACATAATAAATGAAATAAAATGAAAAATAGGGGTATTGTGTGTCCCCAATGGGGCAAAATACGTTCATTCTTTCTTCTAATATTTCTTGGCAAATGGTTAGAGAAATTTAACTTTTACCATGAGAAATCACAAAATGTAAGTAAACTGAAATGTTTTCTCATGCCATTTAGCGGTTACTAAAAAAGAAAATAATGATTTGCCGGGCGCTGGTGGCTCACGCCTGTAATCCTAGCTACTCAGGAGGCTGAGATCTGAGGATCGCGGTTCAAAGCCAGCCCGGGCAGGAAAGACCGTGAGACTCCTATCTCCAATAAACCATCAGAAAACCAGAAGTGGCACTGTAGCTCAAGTGGTAGAGCGCTCGCCTTGAGTTGAAGAGCTGAGGGACAGCGCCTAGGCCCAGAGTTCAAGTCCCACAACCGACAAAAAAAAGAAAAAGAAAAAAAGAGAAAGTAAGTCCTGCGTGACAGTTGTGTAGCAGGTCTAAAAAAAAAAAAAAAAAAAAACCCATATTGGAAGTCTGGGACATTAGTGACATCTAAAAAAAGGAAGGGACTTCATTCAGAATGAGGAGCTGGAATTTCTTAGTAAATAAAAAAACAAAAAACTTCTCTCAAGGGCTAGGAAGGTGGCTCAGTGGTAGAGCGCTTGCCTTGCATGCATGAGGCCCTGGGTTCAATTCCTCAGCACCACATAAGCAAAAAGAAAAAAGCCGGAAGTGGCATTGTGGCTCAAGTGGTAGAGTGCTAACCTTGAGCTGAAGAACTGAGGGTCAGCGCCCAGGCTCAGAGTTCAGGCCCCACGACCGGACCCAAAAAAAAAAAAATTTTTTCCCCAAAACTGATGCAAGTAATCAGAGAAGCCACTTCCTTTTTGAGGGCATATAGTCCATTTCTTTGAGAAATGGACTTTTCCTTGAAAAACATCCACAACCAACCCAGAGATCCACAGTTTCATGTAATGTTCACTATGCCAGGTTATGTCATCAAAGAAAAACTGCAGCCCAAACTTAACTTATATAACTCTGAAAGGAGAGTATTTATTTTCCTTCTTTTGACTGTAATTCTCTATTACAGCAGTTCATTTTCTTTATTTTTCCACACAAAAAGTGTACTGAAAAAAAGCATACTGAGAAAGAATAAACTGGTGTTGCCTATTTTTTTTTTTTTCGGTCGTGGGACTTGAACTCTGGGCCTGGGCACTGTCCCTCAGCTCTTCAGCTCAAGGCAAGTGCTCTACCACTTGAGCCACAGCGCCACTTCCGGTTTTCTGGTGGTTTATTGGAGATAGGAGTCTCATGGTCTCTCCTGCCCGGGCTGGCTTTGAACCGTGATCCTCAGATCTCAGCCTCCTGAGTAGCTAGGATTACAGGCATGAGCCACCAGCACCCGGCGTGTTGCCTATTTTTTAAATAAATAGCATTGATTAAAAATAAAAATCACCTGACTATATTTGTTCCCCCTTCCTCCCTACCTGCACCTTCCCTCTATCCCTGTCCCAAAAGACCAACAACAACAACAAAAATCACCTGAGATTTGTTTACAGCAAAGTCTGTTAAATTTCTATAATATACAATATACAAATATAGGGGTCTAAAAGCTTTTACTGAACAGAAAAAAGCCACTATATTCATTTTATTTTTTAATTTTATTTTTTAATTATCTTTAAGTAGTTGTACAAAGGGGTTTCAATTCAACATGTCAGTTTGTGAGCAATGTCGCCCCCTTTCATCATTCTCTCCCTGTTATACTTGTTTTAGTAAACTGGGTTTCCTCAGTCCTAGTTCTTGTTTCAAATGTCATCTAAAAACCTACATTGCCAGGTACTGGTGGTTCACACCTGTAATCCTCACTTCTCAGAAGGCGGAGATTTGCCAGGGGCTGGTGGTTCATGCCTGTAATCCTAGCTATTCAGGAGGCTAAGATCTGAGGATCACAGTTCAAAGCCTGCCTGGGCAGGAAAGTCTGTGAGACTCATCTCCAAATCTCCAGTAAACGGCCAGAAAACTGGAAGTGGCACTGTGGCTCAAGTGGTAGAGTGTTAGCCTTGAGCTGAGGAGCTGAGGGACAGTGCCCAGAGTTCAAGCCCCATGACTGACCAAAAAAAAAAGAAGGCTGAAATCTGAGGATCACAGTCCCAAGCCAGCTCAGGCAGGAATGTCTGTAAAACTCTTATCTTCAATTAATCACCAAAAAACCTAAGTTGAGCTGTGCCTCAAGAAGTAGAGTGCCTGGCTGGGAAGTTGGCTCGAGTGGTAGAGTGCTAACCTTGAGCTGAAGAACTGAGGGTCAGCGCCCAGGCTCAGAGTTCAGGCCCCACCACCACCAACAACAACAACAAAAAAGAAGTAGAGTGCCTAGGCTTGCACAAAAAATCCTCAGGAACAGTACCTAGATCCTAAGTTCAGGCTCCAGGACAGGTACAAAAACACAAAAATAAACAATCAAACAAAAAAAAAACAAATTATTAAATAACAAGAAAACCAAAACAGTAATTAGAAAATAACTAATAATACCATCTTACCTCACCAAGATAGATGACAATTTGGAAGAAAGTATCCATCAGCAAAATTCTGTCAGCCAGAATGCTGCTGCTGTCCAGGAGCACAGGCTAAAGGAAAAGGAAGAGCTATGTTGGTTTTTCCTCTCCCCACATGGCAACCACTCCAGTCTCACACCCAATCCCACACCCAATGATGTTCACAAATGTTCTCTTCACAAATGTTTCTGGCATAGGACTCCATCATCACACATTCCCACTCTTTGCTCCCCAGCTCCGTGGTTCTAAATCTCTTCTGTACAGGAGAAACAGGCTCAAAATAATCCCTCACCAATTGCAAAGAGGAAGTAAGTAACTTGTGATCTAGGAACCAGAAGTAAGTGGAACATTCTGTTTTATGCTAGAAATCCATTGAATCAAGACTATCTTTAATTGTTTGGATTATTTCTATATGATTCTTTATTATTTATTTATTCATTCATTTGTTTGTTTATTCTTGTGCCAGTACTGGGGATTAAACTCAGGGCTTCACTTTCTCACTTGGCTTTTTCACTCAAGGCTTGTACTTACTCTACTACTTGAGCTAGAGCTCTAGGTCTGGTTTTTCACTGGTTAATTGAAGATAAGAGTGTCATAGATTTGTCTGCCTATGCAGGCTTGAAACTTTCTGACTCCTTAGTAGCTAAGATTATAGAAGTGAGTCACCCACACCAATAGTTCTTTATTTGTGCTTCTAAAAAGCATAATTTAGAAAAGATTTTCTTTCCTTCTCACACTAGTTTAACCATCATAATTGGCTTTATTTGCAAACCAGGCAACATTCTACTCCATAAAACAGAATAAGCATTCCTTTCAATAAGTTTCTATTTTGTTTTCATGTAATGTCGATATAAGGACATATATTACATAAATTAAGTGACTATATTTAGATTAGTTATTTACTTTGTGTGAAGAAATAGAAAATAGACTACTGTAATAAAGAATTACATAGTGACCTAAATAGTCAATAGGATATATCTATATGTAGACTTATAGTAGTCCATTTCCTACCTCTTTGCACAAAGCTTTTTCTTTAAATACTATAGTAGACATGGAATTATTGCTTAGGTAATATAAGCTCAAAAAAAAGCAAAGTACTCTAATATTTAAAAGTTTTTTTTACATTTATTACTTTCTCAAAGAATACCTTTCTATGTCCTTTGACCTTTCCCTATAATTTTTAATACTCAGAAACAATGTTAAATTACATATAATTCTCAAAGACTTTTCTCTTTTAAACAGTTTTGCCTTAGAAGTATATTTGTAAGAAAAACATACATACTAGATGATTGTAATTATTAGAAAAGCATACACATATTGCCATATGCCGGTGGCTCACACCTGTAATCCTAGCTATTTAGGCAGCTGAGATCTGAGGCTCTCAGTTGGAAGCCAACCAGGCAGAAAAGTCCATGAGACACTTATCTCCAAACAGATACCAAGAAGCCATAAGTGGAACTGTGGCTCAAGTGGCACATCATTAGCCTTGAACAAAAAAAGCTTAGGAACAGCACCCAAGCCCTGAACTGCCACCAAAAAAAAAAAAAAAACAGATATACACAGACTTACCTCTGGGGGTCCATGGAAGGAGTAGGAGTAAAGAATGGGCTGGATCATGATGAGAGACTGTGTAAGGTCCTGACGGGCAAAGTGGTGTCGATAATAGGAAGACTCATCAGGACTGTTGTTAAAGACTTGAAGAAATGGAGACCTTCTAAGATGGAACATGAACTGCATTGACAGAAAAGGACAAATGCATATAGTTGTATCATTAGATCCCCAAAACAGTATAGAGCCCAGATAGAGGAAAAGAAGCCTCTGGCCTCACAAAGACAGAAAGCAGAAGCTGGCACAGGAACTGGTAGAAGAAGGAAATGGAGAATTGTTAATTCAATAAGTGCAGAAATTCAGTATAGCAAGATGAAATTTCTGCACACACAAGATGAAATTTCTGCCGCACAACAACATAAATGTACTTAATATTATACAATTATACACCTAAAAGAGTAAAGGTAGTGAATTCTGTGTTGTGCTTTTTACCACTTTAAAATTTTTATAGAACTTAAAAACAACAAATAAAGAACTTCACAGCCGGGCTCTGGTGGCTCACACCTGTAATCGTAGCTACTCAGGAGGCTGAGATCTGAGAATCATGATTCAAAGACAGCCCAGGCAGGAAAGTCTGTGTGATTCAAATCTCCAATTAATCACAGAAAAAGTAGTGCTGTAGCTCAAGTGGTAGAGTGGTAGCCTTGAGCAAAAGGAGCTTACGGACAGCTCCCAGGCCCAGAGTTCAAGGCCCAGTACTGGCCAAAAAAAAAATGGCGGGGGGAATCCTCTTTAAAATATGAAGTTTAGGGCTGGGAAGGTGACTCAGTGGTAGAGCGCTTGCCTTGCATGCTCGAGGCCCTGGGTTCGATTCCTCAGCACCACATAAGCAAAAAGAAAAAAAGCCGGAAGTGGCACTGTGGCTCAAGTGGTAGAGTGTTAGCCTTGAGCTGAAGAGTTGAGGGACAGTGCCCAGGCCCAGAGTTCAGGCCCCACGACTGGACCCAAAAAAAAAAACAAAACAATAAAATATCAAGTTTATAGATATGGTAAAGCTCTCATATGAAAGGAGAAAAGCAAAGAAACATTTATTTCCAGAATCCCTGGACGGGGCTATAGAAAAAGAACATCTATTCTCAAAGGAATTAAATCCATAGAGAAAAGAAGTACACTTAGGGCTTTGAGTTATAAGCCACAGTATAAAAAAATGCACTATTGGGGTAGGAAGAGAAACCAACAGGAGATTTCCCAAGGTCTGAGGATATACCTGAAAGGCCAGAGGACTGAGGCAAAAGACTCGGACACAGGCTGGTAGGTTGGAGTGAGGTAAGAATAGGGAATAGAACAATAGATTACACTAGAAAGATATGTTCATTACCCTACAGATTACAAAAGGTGGGGTAGACTTTTAGCTGACTCTAAGGAATGAGAAATGAACTGCCTTGAGAATTATAAGCATCCTAAAACTCAACTATTAAGTCATATGTTCCTAAATAATCAGGGTTGATATTCAACACATTCTATATACAATGCACAGTGTGACAAGAATTAGATAATCTGTCCAATAAGCCCATGTAAAAGGTTCTTTTCTCGGTTTATAGATGAGGAAGCTGAAGTACAAAGATGTAAGAAACTTGTCCAAAGTCACCCTACTTTTGAGTTGTAGAGATGGACACTAATCCAGGACTTCTATAGCTACAGAGACTAGGCTTTTGACCTCTATCCTAGAATGCCTTGTCAGAAAAAAATCTTAGACTCCATCTCATCTGGTGACTTCCCAACTGTGCTCCTTAGGCTTGGCCAATCCTGGGTCCTTCTAGGAATGGGGACTCTGGTGGAACTCAATGGGTGAGTGTTATGTGGGCATTACCAGAGCAGCACCAAGTTTGTCTGCTTTGCACACTGTCTTTTGAGGGACGGTCCTTTGGAATAAAGAATTTAGGGCTGGAGGCTGGTGGCTCATGCCTGTAATCCTTGCTATTAGGAAGCTGAGATCTGAGGATCATGGTTCAAAGCCAGCCCAGGCAGGAAAGTCTGTGAGACTCTTATCTCCAATAAACTACTGGAATACCAGAAGTGGCGCTGTGGCTCAAGTGGTAGAGCACTTGCCTTGAGCTGAAGAGCTGAGGACAACCCAGGCCTGGAGTTCAAGCCCCATGATGGGAAAAAGAAAAAGAAAAAAGAAAGAAATTTGGAAGTGAGAGCAATCTGGATGCGACATCTGTCACCCACTGATCACCAAGATTGATTTGGCTAATCTGGCTGAATAGGCGGATGTCTTCTTCCTCCTTGCTCACTGATCCATGTGCAGCCCTCCTGAAACTGTGTACTTGGTGGAAGAGAACAACTTTCCCCAATATTGAAGGATTGGTCTTTAAAGGTATATGAGTAGCTGTGTTCCCCTGCTAGAACCTCCAAACAAGCTTAAAGAATGTTATGGCTGGGTGGGAAGGTGGCTCAGTGGTAGAGCGCTTGCCTTGCATGCCTGAGGCCCTGGGTTTGATTCCCCAGCACCACATAAGCAAAAAGAAAAAAAGCCAGAAGTGGCACTGTGGCTCAAGTGGTAGAGCGCTAGCCTTGAGCTGAAGAGCTGAGGGACAGCACCCAGGCCCAGAGTTCAGGCCCCAGGACCAGACCCCCCCCACCAAAAAAAAAGAATATTATGGCTTTACAGAGAGTGCACACTGCTTGATTATTTTTTGTCAGTCTTGGGGCTTGAACTCTAGGTTTGGGCACTATCCCTACACTCTTCAGCTCAAGGCTAATGCTCTACCATTTGAGCCACAGAGCCATTTCCATTTTTCTGGTGGTTAATTGGAGATGAGTCTCATGGACTTTCCTGCCTGGGCTGGCTTTGAATTGTGATTTTCAGATCTCAGCCTCCTGAGTAGCTAGGATTACAGGCGCGTGCCACCAACACCCAGCAGTGCTAGATATGTAATACTTGACTAAACTCATAAAATCCTCCTAACCACCCACATTTCCTCATTAACAGATGAGGATATACGATCAGAAAATAAACTTTATCAACGATAGCCTGTATCTCAAAGCATAAAAAGTCTCCACCGTATTCCAAAAATAAAATTTATTTCTATCACAATTTATTCTATATTTATTTTTTAAAACATGTATTCCTTACCTGAGGGTATAGAGAAAAGGAATCCGATAACCTAAAAGATGTAGGGTCATCTTTGTTATACTGCCCAAACTTCTGACACTGTTAAAAATATAAAGAAAAAAGAAAAGAAAGAAAATTTAAGTTAGTGTCACCTGGATTAAGAGCTATATTGTAATCTTACTGCTTCTTCCTATGAGTTTGAGAATAACATTCTCAGACAGCAAAGACATACAAATCACCAGGAGTTCCTGTTAAAATACAAGACTAGGAGCGTGGCTCTGTGGCAGAGCATGTATTTAGTATGTATGGTCAAGGCCTTAACTTCAATCTCTAGTATTAAAAAAAAAGCAGACCTAGGAAGCTGGAAATTAATATTATTAATAAATAATAATAATAAAGGAAAATGTGCTTTCATCCACTCCCAAGGTTTTCTTCACCCATTTTCTGCCTCCTTCATCAGTCTTAAGAGTTACCCATACTTTAAATAAGAGTCAATACTAAAGCTGGATACCAGTGGCTCAGGTCTAAAATTTTAGCAACTCAGAAAGTTGAGATCTGCTCCCCCACAGTATAACCCCTGCTTTCACTATATTTGATGTCAGTATAACTTGTGGAGGAGAGGGGGAAAAAACAGTTGTTTAAGGATACAGGTGGACCTGATGCAACAACGAGAAGTATAAGTTGTCATGTCCAAAACGAGCTTT